CCCGGAGCCAACTGTAGGCCACTTCGTGGTCTTCGACTTCCCAGAACTCCATTCCTGGGCATGATTTTGAATGCCCGGGGCCAACTGTAGGCCACTTCGTGGTCTTCAAGTTCCCAGAACTCCATTCCTGGGTTTGATTTTGAATGCCCGGAGCCAACTGTAGGCCACTTCGTGGTCTTCGACTTCCCAGAACTCCATTCTGGGCATGATTTTGAATGCCCGGAGCCAACTGTAGGCCACTTCGTGTTCTTCGAGCTCCCAGAATTTCATTCCCGGGCCACACTTTGAGTGCTGAGGCAGGCTGATCTGAGGCTGACGCAGGCTGAGGCTGAGGCCGAGGCTGAAGGCACTGAGGCTGAGGCTGAGGCTGAGGCTGAGGCAGGCTGAGGCTGAGGCGAGGCTGAGGCAGGCTGAGGCTGAGGCTGAGGCAGGCTGAGGCAGGCTGAGGCTGAGGCCGAGGCTGAAGGCTGAGGCTGAAGCAGGCTGAGGCTGAGGCTGAGGCAGGCTGAGGCTGAGGCTGAGGCAGGCTGATGCTGAGGCAGGCTGAGGCTGAGGCTGAGGCTGATGCAGGCTGAGGCTGAGGCAGGCTGAGGCTGAGGCCGAGGCTGAAGGCCGAGGCTGAAGCAGGCTGAGGCTGAGGCAAGGCTGAGGCTGAGGCTGCGGCTGAAGCAGACTGGTCTGACGGCGGAGCAGGCTGAGTGAGCTGAGGCAGGCTGATGCTGAGGTGAGGCCGGCTGATGCTGAGGCTGAGGCTGAGGCGGAGGCTGAGGCAGGCTGAGGCTGAGGCAGGCTGAGGCTGAGGCCGAGGCCGACGGCAGACTGAGGCTGAGGCTGAAGCAGGCTGAGGCTGAGGCAGAGGCAGGCTGAGGCTGAGGCTGAGGCAGGCTGATGCTGAGGCAGGGTGAGGCTGAGGCTGAGGCTGATGCAGGCTGAGGCTGAGGCAGGCTGAGGCTGACGCCGAGGCTGAAGGCAGACTGAGGCTGAGGCTGAAGCAGGCTGAGGCTGAGAGGCTGAGGGAGGCAGGCTGAGCTGAGGCTGAGGCAGGCTGATGCTGCGAGGCTGACGCTGAGGCTGAGGCTGAGGCAGGCTGAGGCTGAGGCAGGCTGAGGCCGAGGCCGAGGCTGAAGGCAGACTGATGCTGAGGCTGAAGCAGGCTGAGGCTGAGGCTGAGGCAGGCTGAGGCTGGGGCAGGCTGAGGCTGAGGCTGAGGCAGGCTGATGCTGAGGCTGTGACTGCGACTGCCGTTGCCACTGCGACTGTCATCGTGAAT